GAGTTTGTTGGAGTATTTCAAAATTTTAACTCACTAAATTTAAAGACGCTCTCCAGACTCCAAATGATAGAATATTACTCTTTAAAAATAGAGAGTCTATTGAAGATGCTCTTACATCTTCTAGTATTTACATCCGTGTTTCAAGTAGGGACCTTAAAATGATTAATTTGGTCACACTATAAAATTTGGTCTTAAAGTGGACGTTAGTGGGTTGGTGTCATCTGTCAGTTCATTGTATCTTTTTCCTTCTATTTTTTTTTTTTTTCAAGAAAGTCATGAACAAATAAAGAAAATTAAAGTTATGATTAATTATGCAGATATTTTGACGAATGAAAAAATATATTAAAAAAAGGCCATATGTCATTTGAACAAAATTTATCCCTTCAAGAAAAAAGCATTTTACCTTGTTAGACCAAAGATTTACTATATGAGTTTATAATCATCGTCCTTCATTGTTCATAATATATTCTGTTTCAGACGATAATGAACTTCAACCGAAAGAAGAAGATGCTTGTAAAATGGGTCAAACATGTTCAATTTATACATGATAATGTACAAACATCTCTCTCTCTCTCTCTCTCTCTCTCTCTCACACACACACACACACACACACACCCCTTTATTCTTTAGTATTGTTTAATTCAAAATCTCAAAGATGATAAAAAGGGACGACACCGTGCATATATGCTATATTATTTGATTATTAATTATAAGTTCGTCATCTAATAATCAACTTTTTTATCCTCCACATCAAATAAGATTAGAAAAACCATGCTTTGCATCTTCTTTTGAAAAGGAGATAATCTTCCAAGCAAGTTCATTTCTACATTATTTTTTGTAGACTTCGAATTTGAAAGAAGGATAAAGATACTTGTACATAAAAAAAAATCTATCGAATTGTTTACCCACTCTCACATGCACACGGGCCCCGCGTGAATTAAAAAAACCCAAGACGTGGTTCCCACCCCCTATTATGAGTAGTCGGTAAGAGATTTAGTAAAAATTTTCGATATATGTAGCATAATCCTTTGAAAGAAATCCCTAATCCAATCTTCCATGGCTTAAATTATTCCATTAAAAAGGGGCCACTTAAGATTTCATCCACTCTTCTTCTTCTAAAGAAAGATTAGTTTAAGAAATGTTGACACGTGATTTCCTAAGTTAATGATGACAAGAGAAGAAAAAATGAGTAATTTATGATTACCTTAATTATGATAATGATGAGAGGAGGGAAAAAAAGTGAAATGAAATCATATAAAAAGTGGGACCCGCGAAAGAGATTTACCTATGAAGATGAGTAGATTTGCAATTAGATATACAACCACTAGGAGAATAGAGTTATGAATGACACGTGTTAATGGATAAAATTTTGGCCAAATGCCAATTCCCATTTGGGAATGATACTCCATACGACCGAAAGTAATCGAGCTTGCAGGACCCTACAAAGATTATGAGCGTGATTCGTCTAGATTGTGAGATTACTTTCTTCTCATGCAAAAACATCTAGATTATGGATCCTATTCTTCTCATGCAAGAATGTCTTGATGCGATTATAATTAATTATGTCAGGCAAATCACGTTATTAACAGAGTGACATGTATATATGTATTGAATTTTATTAATATAAATACAATATACTTGAAAATCATAATAGAAATGTGTCAAGAGTTGCATCAGACTCCAACACGAAATGTTTTGTTACTACCTAATAGTTTCAGACGCTAGCGTTCTAATAGAACAAAGTGAGCTCTCATTGTATGATGGTTATTTCCTCTTTTATAAGTAAATCTATCAAATTTTAACAAGTCACTATAATTGACACTTCAAAATTAATGTGATAAAACAATATTTAATTGATAGGATGATCAAAGAAACTTAGAAACATAGAGACGAGAACAATAGATTTGAATAATATCCTAAATTTCGAAATGTAGGATGGTTGTGGAGAAAAAGGGAGCATGTTTGTCTTTTTTGGGTTGTGATAATCTTGTTCACACTTACAAGTGAATGGGACCATTCTCTTGTCACACTTCCACCAAGAAAAAATGCAAAGAATATAAATCAATATAATACTCATTCTAGAGTGTGAGGGCATTAGTAGTGGATAATTTTTTTTTTCTTTTTTTCCTATCGAAGATTCTCGAAACTCTTAAGACTCGCAATCGACAGCTAAAAACGTCGTTACGATCCTTATCCTTCATCTGAGATTTTATTTTATTTGATTATTATTATTACTTTTTTGGGTCTAGACTTGAAAAGTGAAACCATCCCTTTCAATAATGGGTAGTGCCAAAATCATCTACCATCATATCTAAATATCATTAGTTAAAAACACATCATCCATCACTTTTTTAAGTATTAGAATAGAGAGAAAGGGATCCTCGTGCGCATGAAGCCTCAAGGCCTAAACATTATCCATTCTACAAAAAAAGATTTGGCATCCAATACTACTAGAAATCCTCACATGGTAATATACTTTGCAGTTTGTATTAGAATGTATAGATTTTCTCTACCCCATCACCTTTTCTTTCATTTGCACTTTAGCCCCTGTTTGAGCCACATTCTTATTTTCATTTTCATTATTGCACTCATTTTTAACCACACATTCTTCAATAAAATAATATTTTCCATCACATCAATAATTTTTTTTTTCTTTTTCAACCACATATTCACCACATCACAAAAATAAAATAAAAAATGGACTATCTCCTAAAAAATGTGCATCAAACACATCCTTATTTTATTTATACAAAGAACTTCATTTTTTCTCCATAATATTGGCGTCGTTTCTAAAATATGAAAAAAAATGATGATTAATTACTTTACGAATTGACAAATACATATGGAAAATGGGACACGGAAAGAAAGAATCGACGTCAAAATATTTAAAATTTAATGTTTATAGAAAAATAGAGAGTTCGAGGGTAAAAAAAATTAGCTTAAATTTCTTTAGGGTTACATTGTTTCATAAGTTACCATCATCATTTATTTGATAAGGTGAATTAGATAATAAAGTAATATTGTAAATCAAAAATTAAAAAAATTAAACATAAACCCTAAATAGAGAGAATTGATTGGAACGCTTCCCCAATTATCGTTTGATTTTTTCTCTTCGTTGCCATCTTTATTTCCTCTCTTAAAACAACTCCAAAATCAAAGAATTATTGATAAATTTTGTTGCGTATCTAACGTACCTCGATATTTTTTTGTCTCCTTTTCTACAAATTAAGCATATTTGAAAAGTGTGTACAAATAATTTAAATTACATATATAGAAAATAAGTAATAGATAAGTAAGTCATATTAAATATGCAAATAAAAAGTATAATGATAGATTTAGACAATTTGTGAAAATGACATCCAATGATCATATGTCATATCATGTGTTTGCACTCCAATCATTTGTCATCAGATTTTTCAAATCAAATGACTTTAAAAGCCGCCGCAATATAAAATTCAATTGCTTTATGATTACCTTCAAAATGGAGGAGGAAATAGCTATCATACAAACTTTAAAAAGTTTGGAATGAGAAATTATGAAATTCAGCCCTTGTTTGGTATCGTTAACAATTTGATTAAAATTTAAGTTAAAATCAACAATTAATTATAATCACACGATTGATAGAAAACGCGAATTTTCAACAATACATTTTCATTAATTTTTATCGAAATTTATAAAAATCTGATCTTAATTTCTACCAAACATGGATTAATTGTGAAAGTAGAAGTAAGAGGTTTTTTTTTTTTTTTGGGGTGAAAATATACATTAACTTTGTTCATTTAATGCTTAAAATTATTTGATTTTTTCTGCTATATATTTTAAGCCCCCTGTTTGGTATAGATTAAAAATTTTGATTTTAATTTAAGTCAAATCAATAATTAATTTTAACCATACATTTCATGGGATACACAATTTTTTAACAACACGTCTCATTAGCTTTTATCCAAATCTTCTAAGAATCTGATTATAATTTCTACCAAACATGGGCTAAATAAATTATTCACATTAATTTCAAAAAAGAAAAAACTCGTTAATATGAAAAGTTTACAACGGAAACATTGTATATTATTTTCAATATATTTTAAGAAAACCTGCGAAGATTATATGTAACTATCTTAGATAATATGATAGAATGCCTTAGAGAGGCTTTCTTAACCGTTAGATCAAATTAAGCCCTTATTTGATTTAAATAAAAAATAGATTTTAGCTAGATTTTGATAAAAATTGATACGTGTGATTGAAAAGTTGTAGTTTGTCAATTTTGACTTAAATTTTTATCAAATTTTTTGACTGAACCAAACATGAGTTAATTTTCATTGTCCAATTGATGAAGGTGATGGAATAAATAGAGGGCGAGTTCATTTGCTCTCTATCCACGATGTAAAAGTGTTCTTTGAGTACATGAAGAATTTTCACGCAAGCTCTACTCTTTCGTTCTTGAGTATTAGAATGCATTATTTTTGCTCCATTCCATGTAGACGTCGGGTTTTGAGGTTGGTGAAGATGTGAGAATATTTTTCTTTTCTCATTTTATTTATTTAATTCAAAATGAAGGCAAAAAAGCTTTTTAGTTAAAAAAATGATTTTAAACAGTTAAAATTTTGTTAAAAGGAGAATTATCGCCAAGGACCAAGACCAACGGCACCAAAACACATAGGTCGGGGACTATGCTGCTAAAGAAACAAACATCAGGGATGAAATTCTCTCATAATCAATAAGTTGAGGTCCAGTGCTGCAATTCTACCTAATCTTTACTCTGCTTTAGCAAACTGGAAAAAAATAATACTTCAATATCCATAAATCCAGAGGTTTGTTACAATGGGGTGTAGCCGCCAAATGAATATTCTGGTAGGTTTTGTTATCAGGTGAGGGTCCCACATAAAAAAGAGTCCATTTTTTTTAATTCAAACTACTTCAATATTCTGCCAAATCTCTATTATATATACCCAAAGCAAAAACGTGAGCAAAATGAATTGAAGAAACAGACATTCGAAGCCAAAATGGTTGAGGGAATTTCATTTTGGAATGAGAATTGTGTAGGATTCTCCACTGAGGAGTTCCAAAATCATCCTTTGGTAGACTCTGTAAATCAAGAAAATGATGAAGACTCTGGAATTCATGGTTATGAACAATGCTCCATTTCCAAGAGAATGAGGCTGTCACCTGAATTCACTCTGCAGGTTTTTAGCTTCTCCCTACTTTTTGTTTATCATTTCTAGTCCCTGTCCTAGTTAGGATGGCACAATCCCACCTCTCTCGAATCCGTAGGATTCTCTGGCTAGTCTGGGAATCGGGATGGAGATGAGAACATGATCCTTCTGTTTTTGTGCTGACCTTCTGTTAAAATTTGAGGTTATATCTTAAAAGGTTAACCTTATTAAAAGGAGTAGACCAAACTCTTATAAATTGATATATGTTTTCATCTTTATTCGATGTAAGATTTTATCCATAACACCTTCCATTAGCCTGTCAAGGTAACATAGGAAATCAAAATCTTTATTCTGCCATGGAAATTAAGAAATGGAAGGATTTAATTTTTACCAAAATGATTGTTGAAGAATTAATTCAGTATTCACGGGTTTGGATCCTTTTTATATGTTATTTGATTGTGCCTTTGTTGCAATTTAATTGTTTGATTTTGCAGGAAGGAGATGTAGATTCGTCTGAAGATTCAAGTCCTCTTGGTTTGAAACTGTGCAAGACGCCATCTTTCATGAATTTATTGGAGATGAAGTTATCCCAGTGGAGGAATGAAGATTGTTCATCAGAGAGCAATCCCAGATTGGGACGACATGGTCCTAAAACAAAATGTTCGGAGAAACTGAAGGCTACTAACTTTCCTGCAATTTTACTTAGAATTGGAAACTGGCAGGTATATAGCTCTGGTGCAATGAATTTTATTCACAATAATTTCACGAAAACTTAGCCAGAATAGCATTTTCTTAACGTATTTGAAATGTGAGCAGTGGATTTCTGAGCATGAAGGCGATTTGACAGCCAAGATTTACTATGCGAAACACAAAATGGTCTGGGAAGTGTTGGGTGGGCCACTGAAGAGTAAGATTGAGATACAATGGTCTGATATTACTGCGATTAGAGCCATTATCCGTGATCACGAACCAGGAATTCTCGAGATTGAGGTAAATCCCTTTTGCATTAATCTATTTTTTCAAAAATAAAAAAATTATTAGTTGATAATCAGCTAAATGCTACTACAAACTGAATGCAGTTGAACCAACCACCTTGTTTCTTCGGAGAAACTAATCCCCAACCGCGCAAGCATACTCTTTGGCACCAAACATTGGATTTTACTGGAGGCCAAGCTTCCATTTTCAGGTATCCAACCGTTTTTCCACTTTCTGTAGATATTTTCCAAGATTTCCTATCGTGATGTATAATTTGAAAAGTTTAAGGTGTTTGACTTGACTTGTTCTTTCCATTTTTCTGAACTTCCAAGAATAAACTGTAATGCGTTTAGAAAATTCTTGTTATTTCTGATTTTTAAAGAAAATAGTCCCCATATTTGACATGGAAACTGCATTTTAACTATAAATCACATACAAATGGAAAATTAAAATTAATTTCTTCTACAGAATTAGAAAGAAATTGTAAGGTTGTGTTCAACATTACTACAATTTAGGGATGACAAAAAAACCTTGTTCAAGCCGATACCCGTATGGTCCCACCTCGAATGAGGCAGGAATTACCAGCCTAACCGGGTAAACGGGACGGGAGCGGGGCATGAGTCATTGCCCTGAAACGAGTGCAGGGCGGGTACGGGAAATATAGTCCCCGTCCCGCTACTGACAAAGTTTAAAGTTAATTTCAAATTTCAGTTTATCAAACAAAAATATTAGATTTATCATCATTTTTAAAGAGAATATAAGTAATTTTTTAACAAATTGATAAAAAGTAATAATATTTACTAATTAAAGAAATAAAATAAATAAAAAATAAAAAGAAAAAAATATATACATATAACTTCACCTCGATCCCGCCCCAAACCCTCCCCATCCTGTTTTAATCGGGTATGGAATGAGGTAAGATGACAAAAATATCCGACGGGGACAAGGTGGAAATTACCAACCCGTCCCGTTGCGATCCCCACTACAATTAAGAAAGGGAAATCCGTTTGAATAATTTGAAGTTTCATTTACAAAATTATATAACCTCACTACTTCATTTATAACTATTAGTCCATTAACCTTTTTAACATTTTGATGTTCTATTGATTTGTTTGTATCACAAATAATATCCATATTATGCATCAAGATTTTGTTCTAGTAGTACTTATGTTCTTAATGGGTGTTTTCTCTTGCTTTTGCTTTTGTCTTTACAAGGAGACATTATGTGAGTTTTGCACCGGGGATGCTTGATAAACACTATGAGAAGCTTCTACAATGTAATCAACGATTATTCTCATTAAGCCAGAAGCCCTTCCCTAGCCAAGAGTCCCTATATTTTGACTCAGCTGTCTATGGATGTTCAGAATCTTTTTTCACTTTGAATGGATATCAATCAGAATTTCATCTTAGAATGCAGTATCCGCATCGAACATATCATGCTCCTTCCATTCCTGGCAAGATTGAGAGTTTTGAAGCAATGACAAGGTCACCGATAAAGCTGATTTCTTCGGACGAAAAAGTAAGAAACTATAGATTTGTAAATCGAAGGCGAAGAGTTTGCGGTGAAGGAGAAAATGTTGCTTGGGGTGAATCGCAAGCCAATTATGTTCTTAGTCCACCAAATTCTTTGTCAGTGGAAGATGTTGGGGGATTTAGTCCAAATACGAGTGACCTAAATGAAATTGATAACCATTTGCTAGGAGACAATCAATTCATAGGCTCTAATGAGGGAACATTTTTCACAAGTGTGAAATTGATGTGTCCATTGATTGAGCCATTGGATGTGAATCCAATGAATACATCATTTGCAAATCAATTGGATATAAACTATCATAGCACAGATATACAAGTAAATCAAGATAAATTTGAGAAATCAGAGCTAGTTGGCCTCTACTCAGAGCCTATGACTTGGTTATCTCATTAAGATTCCAATGAAAGCGTAAAGACAGAACCAACAATGAAAAACATGTTCGATCAATACATGTTGCCCGTAAGTGATTTTTCGACTCCAAATGCAATGCAAAACATATAGATGGCCTTGAGATCTACATAAGAAAGCTGAAAATAGGGAATTTGCTCTACAGGGATAAGTGTATCTAGTGATAATCCCTTATTTGTTCCTACATGTTTTTGGGCTTTCCAACATTTTGGGAATAGAACTACTCTTTTCCTTAGGTTCTAACTACTAATTGAGAAAGGAGCTTTAATTTATTTTGTGTTAATGTTTTGAATATGACTTTTTTAAGTTCAATANTCATTAGCTTTTATCCAAATCTTCTAAGAATCTGATTATAATTTCTACCAAACATGGGCTAAATAAATTATTCACATTAATTTCAAAAAAGAAAAAACTCGTTAATATGAAAAGTTTACAACGGAAACATTGTATATTATTTTCAATATATTTTAAGAAAACCTGCGAAGATTATATGTAACTATCTTAGATAATATGATAGAATGCCTTAGAGAGGCTTTCTTAACCGTTAGATCAAATTAAGCCCTTATTTGATTTAAATAAAAAATAGATTTTTGTTAGATTTTGATAAAAATTGATACGTGTGATTGAAAAGTTGTAGTTTGTCAATTTTGACTTAAATTTTTATCATATTTTTTGACTGAACCAATCATGTGTTAATTTTCATTGTCCAATTGATGAAGGTGATGGAATAAATAGAGAGCGAGTTCATTTGCTCTCTATCCACGATGTAAAAGTGTTCTTTGAGTACACGAAGAATTTTCACGCAAGCTCTACTCTTTCGTTCTTGAGTATTAGAATGCATTATTTTTGCTCCATTCCATGTAGACGTCGGGTTTTGAGGTTGGTGAAGATGTGAGAATATTTTTCTTTTCTCCTTTTATTTATTTAATTCAAAATGAAGGCAAAAAAGATTTTTAGTTAAGAAAATGATTTTAAACAGTTAAAATTTTGTTAAAGGGAGAATTATCGCCAAGGACCAAGACCAACGGCACCAAAACACATAGGTCGGGGACTATGCTGCTAAAGAAACAAACATCAGGGATGAAATTCTCTCATAATCAATAAGTTGAGGACCAGTGCGGCAATTCTACCTAATCTTTACTCTGCTTCAGCAAACTGGAAAAAAATAATACTTCAATATCCATAAATCCAGAGGTTTGTTACAATGGGGTGTAGCCGCCAAATGAATATTCTGGTAGGTTTTGTTATCAGGTGAGGGTCCCACATAAAAAAGAGTCCATTTTTTTTAATTCAAACTACTTCAATATTCTGCCAAATCTCTATTATATATACCCAAAGCAAAAACGTGAGGAAAATGAATTGATTGTGAATCCAATGAATGCGTCATTTGCGAATCAATTGGATATAAACTATCATAGCACAAATATACAAGTAAATCAAGATACATTTGAGAAATCAGAGCTAGTTGGCCTCTACTCAGAGCCTATGACTTGGTTATCTCATTAAGATACAGAACCAACAATGAAAAACGCGTTCTATCAATACATGTTGCCCGTTGGTGATTTTTCGACTCCAAATGCAATGCAAAACATATAGATGGCCTTGAGACCTACATAAGAAAGCTGAAAATAGGGAATTTGCTCTACAGGGATAAGTGTATCTAATGACAATCCCTTATTTGTCCCTACATGTTTTTGGGCTTTCCAACATTTTGGGAATAGAACTACTCTTTTCCTTTGGTTCTAACTACTTTTTGGGAAAGGAGCTTTAATTTATTTTGTGTTAATGTTTTGATTATGACTTTTTTAAGTTCAATATAACTCTCTATTCTTTTCGTACCACGCTTGAGGTGAAAGTTTGTGGAGTTGTTCACTTTTATATGGCCTTACATTGACCTAATGTTTCTACAATTTAAATCTTGAACGTTGAATTGTACATTAATGTACGATGTAGAAAACATACTCTAAAATGTTTTAAAAGATCAAAACAACTTAGCTTATGCATAGGTACAACAAGCAATTTGCAAGATAAAAATTGGATGGTGCCTAAAAATAAGTAGTCACCCCAAAACTCTGCAGAATTACCCAGTGCCACCATCCCCACAATTGCCATCCATATCCAAAATTGATGTTCTTTGACATTACTTACACTACTATTATTTTCATGAAACTGATATAAACTAAATTTAGCAGTACTTTTATCTTTCTAATTGCGACTACATTAATTTAACAAAACTAAAATGATTGTACTTAAATGATGTTCCTACTCCATTCTGTTATGCAATTAGGGGGTAAATACATTATGATGAATAACTGCATAGAAATTTTTTGAAACTTATTAAACTTCAAAACATAAGTTCGGCAAACCACCTTCACATATGTTTTGACAATGAACTATAGAAGATCATCGAATAATGGGAGCAGCATACTTTTCCAACTCAACCATGCTATTTGTACAGAAAATGGTTGACAGAAATGGATGACCGAACACTCACAATAGGGGGCACTTTTTTTTTGGAATTTTTTAATCACGCGGGGCCCGCATACATGTGAGAGGTTGTTAAATTCCTTTGTCATCCATTTATGTGCAAATGGAATTGTTATTTCCAACTAGTCTTTGACTGACTCAAATGTGGCCCCTTCTGTTGGGCATATTGGTCATGATTGTCTCAAATTCTAGCGAGGACAAAACTTTGTATCGTAATTTGCTTGATGTGGTGAATTCTAACTCATGTGGACATAATTTGCGCTAGCTTAATTTATTTTAGAGGATCAAGTAAACTTTCGAGAACTCCATCTAGTTAATGGGCTTGATCGTGACACAACTGGTGTTACGATTATCACCAAGTCACACAAAATGGCTGCCAAGCTAGTGAAGGCTTTTACCAAACACGAGGTTAGGAAATCAAGAACTTCTCCTTTACAGAGGCAAGTGAAAGTTTCTTATCGTTGAAATAATTGCAATGAGATGCTGCAGTTTTCTTCATACAACAATTTATATAGGTTGGTCGAGTTCAGAAATTAACCATAGGGCTGTCCGTGGATCGATTCGGTTCGATTTTGAAGAGACCTCGAACCGATCCATAACTTTCGGGTATTTAATAAATGGAACCGTCGGGTCCAAATATAATTATGGAACCGTTCGAGTTGAGTTCGGTTCGGGTCGGTTCGGTTCGGGTCGGTTCCGTGCCATAATTAAATTTTTTAATATTTACAACAACGCTACATAAATATAACTAATGACATTGCATTCATAACTTTTACAAATTAATGTAACCCTTTGTTTAGAAATAAATAAAATAATTTAATTAATTCAATATAAAAAATAAAAAATTATTTAGTTTCGGTCCTTTTTCGATTCTTCGGTTCTTGATCTAGACTCGAGACCTAACCAAAACCCATCGGTTCTCGATTCGGGTACCCGTTCTGATATTTAATTTATGAAGAACCGCTCGATTCGATTCGGTTCGGAACTTTTGGACACCCCTAACTAACCATCACGTGCCCCTCAGGTCCTTGATGATTTGGAGTTTCAACGGCATGTTTGTGTGTTAGAATGCCAATAAGTTAAATGTTCTGTACTAAGAAGATGTGACATATCAAGATGTTAAAAATATATCTCGACACAAAAAATTCGAGACAACAAATCTCGACCCAGTCTCTTAAGTTGCTTGATTCGGCGTGTAAATAAAGGAAAGCTGAATTGTCAAATTAGTAAATTTGACTTTTAAGCTAGTCAACTTCAAAATAATCAAAATAGAAATTCAATTACTTTCGTGTTGATCTCTAACTAAAAAAGTAAATGATTGCTCGACCTAACTAGAAAAATAAACAATTATGTTACATATACATTATCTTTTACATCTCATTTTAAAGTTTAACAAAATACCATGGGACAGTTTAAAAACAAAAAAAGTTTTTCTGCCCCACAATTTTAAAAAAACAAAAGAAAAGCAAGGAGCGTACATTTAGCATGCAAAGTGCATTTCTTAGAACTCAATTGCAAAATGGTACAATAGCTCGAAAATCCAAGGCTAATTTCGTCATATAGAAGCGTACGAATGTCATTATCCTATTCATAATCCCCAATCAGAGCTGCCACGTCAAATACATGAGACTTGACTCCGGCTTGTCAAAATATTACTCGTCCACGTCAATCCGTATATTCCATTAGTTGAGCATTTTCAATTAAACTTGTTTACGAGAAAAAAATTGACAGCCCTTTTGACATTGAAATAAACCATATGTACAGAAAAAAATTTCATAGATGTTTTACACCCACTCACATGTGTGGGGCCCAGGGACGAATGCAGAAGTTTAAAGTTGGGTTATAAAGAAGTTGAGAGAAATTTTACAATAAAAAATTTACGTTCAAAAAAATCATATCCCGTTTCATTTTGCATTCGAAAATTTACATGGGATATGACTTTTTCGGATATAAAGTTTCAGAAATTTTTTGATGTTATATTTCATATAAAATTTCATGATAAAATAATGAAAATTACATTGAGAAATTTGTATCGCAAAAATAATAAATGTTAATGAAATAATTGATTTTTTTAAAATGCGAATTAGACGTCTTTCTTTAAAACTCACGTTTAACGTATTTTTAACTATTTTCGATATTTGTTTGGATTATTCGATATGCTCATAATGTAATTCTCAACATAAGTTTTGAGATGATATAAGCAATTTGTAGATTCGATTAGCGTACGATAGTCGGATAATTTTTAAAATTAGCATGTTATCGAAATTCCAAATTATTGTGATTTTCCCCCTATTTAGTGGAGATTAAAACCAAATTTTTAGTAAATTTTGATAAAAGTTAGAACGATTATGGATTACATGAAATATGCTATTAAAATTAATTGTTAATTTTGATAGATTAAAATTTTAATTTTAATCGATATCAAACACGACTTTATAAGGAAAAACAATTCTCAAAAGTTGGTGGTCACGTGACCCCGGGACCCCTGGTCAATCCCTGGTGGGGCCCACCGAAAATAAAAAATGAAAAAAACCACCCACGGTGAAACCAAGTCGCCCCCCTCCCCCTCTCAGTTCTTTGAGATTTTCTCACATGTGGTGGGACCCATACGATAGAAAAGGACCAAAAAATTCTGCACCTGTTGTGATGCCCAGCAAGGTTGGAGCATATTATGCACTCGGAATCATTCACGTATATAAATAGCTCGCTCCTTCACTCTGTCTCTCTCTCCAGAGCCATGGCGACAGTACAAAGAAGAGTATGGACGATCCCTGATTATCTCGCGCTGGCCGTCGTTCTCTCTTTTCTTCTCGCGATCTCTTCTGCGGAAGTATTCTTTGAAGAGCGTTTTAATGGTGCTGTGCTTTTTCTCTATTCGAACAATTACTGCTGTAATTAGCTAAATCTAATTAAAATGATAACATTTCAATGAAATTTCGGTTTCTCAATATCTTTCGTTACAATTTGTGAAGGAACGTGACATGATTTCTATTTATGAGTCGATCTTATCTTTTTGATTGAAGGATTCTAGTATAAGTTTAACAATGCATGACTTTTTCTAAATGGATCTGATAACTAAGGTTGCAAATTTGTACTTTCTGATTTTTGATAACTTTTTTTTTTTATCAAATTACTCCGCTTTTAAGTTTTTGTACTTTTATTTTAAAATTACTGTATTAATTGATGCGAGGTGCGATCGATTTGACATGTAAACAATGGTTATTCATAAAATTTGTCCCATGAACGTTCATTTTGGATAGTTTTCAGTGCTAAAGATTTATTTTATCTGTTTGAACAGACATTGGACGGATATAGTACATATTTACATGATTTTAACTGATAGTTTAGTCATTGCCACATTTCCTTTCCTTCTATAAACAAAGGCTGGATAATTGAATTATTTAGAACTTCTATTTTCGATGAAGAAACATGGTTTTAGTAATGTATGTGCGGTGGAAACTTTACAAACTTTAAAAAGGCAAAAAAAAAGAAGTGAAATCAACTAGGCATATAGAAACAGGAGACCTGTGAAAAATGTGTCATTTAGCTCACTTAATGGAGCTTTCCTTTTACCTTGGACAAGCGATACTTCTCTATTCAGATTTAATTGGATCACTTTTGTTCATAAAAAATTGTTGACATTTAACCCTCTTCTATAATATTGATAACTTTAACTGCTGATTGGTTGTGTGGAATTGAATGTTTTGCTTTGTGAAATATGAAGATGGATGGGAGAATCGGTGGGTCAAATCTAACTGGAAGAAAGACCAAAACATGGCTGGAGAATGGAACTTTACCTCTGGTAAATGGAATGGAGACTCTACAAACAAAGGTACACATGTCATTGGTTGACGAGTCTAAGTGCATACATATGTTTGTGCAATATATATGTATGTGATTTTGTATATACGGAATATATGATGTGCAATGGGATTTACTTCTATGTCTTAGTGCAGGTATCCAGACCAGTGAAGATTACAGGTTCTATGCTATCTCAGCTGAGTTCCCTGAATTCAGCAACAAGGACAAGACATTAGTTTTCCAGTTCTCTGTCAAGCATGAACAGAAGCTTGACTGTGGTGGTGGATACATGAAATTGCTTAGTGGGGACAATGATCAGAAGAAATTTGGCGGTGACACCCCATACAGGTAACATCATATGCTCCAGCCATCTGGCAGGCGTTTCCTATTTGGTAAGTTGTCCCTGCTGAAGTTGCTGATTTGGTTGTAATATATGGGTGAATGCAGCATCATGTTTGGGCCAGATATTTGTGGCTACAGCACCCAGAAAGTCCATGCCATTCTCACCTACAAGGGGACAAACCACTTGCTCAAGAGGGAAGTCTCATGTGAGACGGATCAACTGACTCATGTCTATACATTTGTCATCCGGCCTGATGCTACTTACAGCATCCTCGTTGACAATATGGAGAAGCAGTCTGGTAGCTTGCACTCTGATTGGGATCTTCTGCCACCAAAGACAATCAAGGATCCAGAGGCCAAGAAGGTATTTCTTTGTGCAATTATAGATGACAATTTTGTACTTTCATTGGTTCAATGAAAGTGATCCTGCTGCATGTTGATGACAGCCTGAAGATTGGGATGACAAGGAGTACATTCCTGACCCTGAAGACAAGAAGCCTGAGGTTACTGAACTTCAAAGTTTCATGCCCTTCCTTTTCTACAATGATGCACTGTTTAACGCGAGAGCACATGTTTATGACTTATAAGTTGATGCCCGCAGGGTTATGATGACATCCCAAAGGAGATGCCTGATCCAGACGCCAAGAAGGCATATAATCTAATTTTCCTGTTTTGCTACATATCCATGTAATCCCCTACACTTCTTTTACTCAATTGTGAGGGTTTACAATTGCAGCCCGAGGATTGGGATGATGAGGAAGATGGTGAATGGACACCGCCAACTATTGCCAACCCCGAGTACAAGGGTCCATGGAAACCAAGGGTTTGTTGAATCTCTATTAGTGTTGTAAATGTTGCTTTTGCTAATCCGCGTGATTTATTAAATGATCTACATTTCTATTGCCCAGAAAATTAAGAACGCCAACTACAAGGGCAAATGGAAGGCACCAGTTATTGATAATCCAGGTCTGCCTGCAACATCTCTTGTCAGAACTTAATTACATCTTTATAATGTATGAGCTTTTACTCTATCTAATATGTTATTATTTGTGATTATAGACTTCAAAGATGACCCAGATCTATATGTTTTCCCAAATTTGAAATATGTGGGCATTGAGTTGTGGCAGGTAAATAAAAAGAATTTCTGTTATTTCCATGTTCCATTAAATAATCAAAATTCAACCCGAGGAAATGAAATAAAACTTTAGGTGAAATCTGGAACCCTGTTTGACAATATCTTGTTATGCGATGATGCGGAGTATGCCAAGGATGTAGCTGAAGAAACATGGGGCAAACACAAGGACGTATGTTGCTTTTATCCTTTAGACTCGTGGCCTCTTCTCTTTCCCTTTTCATTAAAATTCCTGTCCCAGCATATGAAATTTGAGACATGAATGCATCTACATTTTGCAGGCTGAGAAGGCTGCATTTGATGAAGCAGAAAAGAAGAGAGAGGAGGAGGTACTTCATTCATCATTTCTGACCTTGGAAAAAAATTTAGTGGGATAATATTTCGATGACTGAAAGCAAAATCTGTGAATTTATATCATATATGCCTTGCATGTCTCTATAAACATTTTTTATTTTGTTCAGGTACCTAAGGATGATCCAGTTGATTCCGATGTAAAGCCTTCATACTTCTCTTAAAATTATATACAGTGTGTCGTTTAAATTATGATTCGACGGCACTTTTTTCAGGCTGAAGATGGTGATAACGACGCCGATGATGCAGACGCTGATGATGACATGAAGTCAGACACAATGGAAGATGATGATGTACACGTATGACTCTTTCCTATGCTGCTGGTTTTACACAAATGCTTTACATTGTGGCGTGATGCTTTCTTACTCCATATTCTTCTTTTGCGTTTATTGTGCAGGATGAATTGTAGGAAGCACCTAGTAATGTTCGGCTCACAATGTACTCTCAAGCCGAATTGCTTAACCTTTTTTCCTTTTTAACATTCCATATTTGGCTGTCGCTTTTCTTATTGGGCGAAAGGAACGAATTGAGGATGGTGCTTATTGCTTCAAAGTCATGTTGCTTCACGACCATTAGGACTGAAAATAAAAAAACTTGTTCTGTTTTGTTTAGATTTATGAAAATAGTCAGTTAGATTTGACCCTTATCTGGTTTTCATTTTCTAAAATTTATTTTCAACCACATAATTTAAGGTCTCGCATTTTTTTATCGCAATTTTTATTAACATATTTCATTAAAAAAAAATCTGATTTTTAGCTAAATCAAGCGAACACTTATGAACATTTTGGACCTGAACACTTTGATTTATGAACAAAATTGGACATAAGCAAAGATGAGCAAAAGCCACTGTAAATAAATTAAACGGACCCCTAGAAAACACAGGAACCCAAACAAGGACCAAAATGGAAAACAAAAGTAGGCCCCGCCTGATCTATAGCACTACTTCTATACATTCAAACCAATAACAGCATTGCAACGAGCAATGTTATTTAGCCCCAGATTACAAACCAAGTTTCCGTGGCACTAATATGACATTAAATGATAAGCGTACATCTTTCATTTAGCTCACCGCTTAGACGGGAGTTATAAGTTACAACAATCTACATAGTATTATTCCCTGGTAATTATTAGTGTGTGCCATTGCCACCATTTGATTTGGGTTTCTTCACTATTAAAACTGGACATTTCGCGTTCTGCGCACAGTGGTTGCTCACACTCCCAAGAAATGCCCTGCCATTTTCACAAAACAATATCATTTGTCACATAACCCACAAAATTAGAAGAATAATTCTCCTTGTACAACTCTTGATTACAACATTTAATCGAGGGCCCCACCCCATTGTGAGAGATTGTCCTCCAATGTTGTAACCAAGAGTTGTACATGTAGCATTCTCCAAATTAAAATTATCGACTATGGATTTTTATTTTTTTTAAGGCCGAAATCCCACTTGAGATATGAAAAAAAAAGCTTAAAAAAAAAAAAAGAGAGTTAAAATCTTGGACCTTTTAATGAGACCATAACCATGACTTCCCATCACTAACAGATCCACATTCAATTTCTCAGCCACTTCACAAATCATGTCCCTTGGATCTCCAAGCTCCACCACTGTCTCCAATTTAACCTACACAACACCAAACCACATAGAACTATTATTTTCTAAATGACTCTTTTACCCTTGAAGATATCGCAAATTTACCAACTCACATCATTCAAGTCCTTGCAAGCTCTTTTCGCCTTGTCAATCACGCACTGAGCCACATCATTGCTGTATCTCTCCATGGTCGCCATTAAATCAGGAGAAAACATATACCCTGAAATTAAACAAATATTACAATACCACCCTTCACATATCCATTTCAAAAAATGCCCATACTGCACAATTTTACCTGCTCCATGACCATCCATGGTTGTGTAGACAGCACGAGGTCGTTTGACGTAGCAGATGATAAGGGTATCTTTGGAATTCTCACTAATAACATTTTTGAGACACCATGTGAGTGCGTACATGCTTTCATCTCCTTCATCAACTGCTGCTAAAATTTTCCGCCCATTTTCTGCCATTGCTAAAAACCCTCTCTTCAACTGGGAAAATTTATGTGAGATATTTAAATATCGCTTGGATAATATCAATTCAAATCAGCCATTGTATATATAGTGTGTGTTTTGAGTGAACTCTGTTGGCGGTTGGTGGTTTCGGAGAAAGTGGGCCTTAAAACGTCGTTGGTATTCTCATTCCAGGATTACACGCCTCCAGTCATGTTTATCCAGTTAAATTGGAAGGCAATTGCACTCGAGGCACTGAATTTTTGCGATACTCACAACTAGGTTATTAAACTTAAATTTGGTGCAATTAAGTCACTGTATTTTAGATTACGAGCAATATGATTTCATTTGTGTGCTTGCTAACATGTCCTAACGACTATTTGCCCACATGGTCAATCCATTTCTCACGTTAGATAATCTAAAACTATACTGGAGGTTATTGAATTTTCATCGTGCTTTAACTTTAATTTAGTTCGATTGGCTAATTATAAGATAATTTATGAGCAAATAGGTCACTTTTTTGGGTTTGTGTATAAGCCTACTAAACTTAGATAATATTCCCTAACATCCTACTCATGAGCGTGCTTGTGTCGGTTATTTGAACGTATTGGCCTAAAAGTGAGGAAAAGGCTATTTTGAGTCATGGAATCTCGAGAGCCAAATTTGCTGTCCGTGAAACCTAGCTTCGTCACCACCGCATCATGCTCTATAAAAAATCAAGTGGGTGTGGGCAAATAAAACTTCTTGTAAGAAGCTTTTGACAGAATGGATGATAGATACATAGGTGTAGTCATTGCATTGACTGATTTAAAAATGTTTTTGTCCAACATTCGATGAATGCTTACCACCACCACTATCCATCAATTTATTTGTATAATTCTGCTGTACATGTAGCAAGATATCGGTGTGGACTATCGGACCTCTCAATTATCATTTATGTTAGTCGTACATTCAAACTGTATATTAAAATTAACACTGTGATGTATCAAAATTTGTAACATTGATTGTTTAAAATGTTGTTAAAATTAATATATAGAAGTAATCACCTCACAATAATGTCAAATTTGATACACGTGTAACAAGATTGCTCAATTACAATGATAATTATCTTGACTAAAGATCCACATCAGCAATTGAGCTATAGGGTTGCAATGACAGTTCTAGTGGATGAGAATAATGCTTCTTGGTTAGGGTCGTGACAGGACATGGGGTGATATGGTGAGATTGAGTTTTGTTTCAACGTGTCCCTTCTATCCATTCGTCATTGACATCTTTAGCAAGGTGGGATGGATGAACCACTTTGAAAAAAATTAAAAACCGCTAAGTAAAAGAATTTTGACCTGTAGTGTCTTGTCAGAATTTGCGTTGGAGAGACAACGACAAAATGCAAAACGACAGGAGAGGCTGTGAATTCTTACGTTTTCATCATCACCTATCCGATCTCGATGAATACTGTACTGTAAATGTTCCTCCGTTCACATGATGGAGTCCCAAAGGCAAAGCATAGCAGATGAAGAAGGCAGCAGTCCTTTGCTAAGGCCCAATAATGATATTGAAACTGAAGGTGGTGATGGCGATAGCCATGGCAGTTCTGCCACCATTGTTGTTGTACTCAGCACCCTTGTCGCGGTTTTAGGCTCCTATGTTTTTGGTTGTGCTGTAAGTTTCACAAACACTAATTTTGAGTGCCAATAAACTTTTTTGTAGTTAGTGACCAAGTTCTGGTAAATGTTAAATATTCAGATTGGATTTTCATCGCCAGCCCAGTATGGAATTCTGGATGATCTTGGTCTATCCTTGGCACAGGTAATTTTTATACTTACCTACACGATCTTAAAGATGTTTGAATTTTCGACTTGCTAGAAAAATTCAGAATTCTCGTGTTTTTTTACGTTGGTTATTGATATCATCTTTAATCGGGATGGGATTTATCCCTTAACATACTGTGCAAGTTTCTGGCCGCTCATTTAATCCAAATGCCCGCTTGAGCCTTGGGTGAATTGCTCATTCGAGCTTAAAAGACCAACCTTGTTAAGATAAGTAAATTACTGATTTGTTAAGATAAGTAAATTACTGATTTCATCCTTAATCAACATGTAACTTATTTCTTAACGATCTTCTTATACTGATTGGCATACTATTGGATTATGAAATTGCTAAAATTAATCTACATTAATCATTTATGGAAAAGATATCTAGTTCTTTTGTACTAAGAGACAGATCAAATCGGCATTCATTAATAGGTCTGTGTCTTGTCAGAGGATCTCTTTGGAAAAAAATTAAATAAGAAGAAAACTGTAGTGAAGAACTATTAAAGAAATTAGAGTAGATGGCAAGCGCTTGCAAAATACAATTGATTGACACTGCTGGGTGTCTTCCTTATTACACTCCACATGACAGTGTTTACTACAAGAGAGAGGGCTTGTGCACTCTTTTGGTTTTTTGGGTGCGTTGCAAATGCGGAGTATTGTACACCCCGAATCTGTATATTATATATAAGGAGGGGTGGCCTTCATGGAGGAAGTGATCCCCTCAATGGTCTCTACTCAAGTTTCTCTTGTAAGTATCCATTCAGTTTCACAATGTGGCGGTCATGATTAGTGGGAGGAGATACTGGGCTTCCTCCGATACCATGCATTCTTGTTGGTCATTCCTGACCCAATGAGAGATCTTGTCTGGTGAGTGGTGAGCTAGGGCCGGAGGATGAAGAGATCTGTCCCCTGGCCTTTCCTGAAAATGACTGATTGACTGAGGTGGGACCTTATGATATGTCTGCCAGGTAGGATACAATGTGTAAAGTTTCGGTAAGTCGCTAATCTTGGAGGAGAATACTGAGTTTTCTTTCTCCACTTGTCGAATATTTTGTGGGTTTTTTGTGCCATGGATTGTGCACTTGTCAGTTTTTCTTTGATTTTCGTTTTGGAGCTATAGACTTTTGAGCTCCCAAGGCCTAGAAAATGATGATTAAAAGACTTGCTCAAAATTTGATCTGTTACCTGGAGGCGTCTCTTATCCATTAGATCTCCGCAATTTGTTATATCTCCATTCTGCTCCTGAAAACAAATTTCTTCCTATATGAAGATTTTCTTTGTGCACGATGTTTTCCTCTGAGCGCCCATGATGTAGCACTCCAACGGACTTCCGAACAAAGAAATGAGTCCATTAATAGAGAAGTCCCAAAGGGGAGCATATAGTTAGATGCACAATGCCTGGTGACTAACTTAACTGAAGGAATAGAAGTTGGTTTGAAGGAAAACCACTCACTACTAAGATGATAGAACCATCATCAAGAATTGAAGGACACCCTCGAGCAGCTTTTCATCATTAAAAACCTTCCTATGACAGACCATGTCAGCAATAGCACTCCTAAGGTCCATAGGTTTAACCAACTATCCACCTAAAGACGAAGGAATAAAATGGCCTAACAACATGGGTTAAACTAGTACTCCACCTAAACATGGAGGAATAAACTAGCTTGACAACACTCAGGAATTCTAAACTTAACAAATGTGATGGAACTTAATGTGGGGAACAGAAAACAGAGCTTTCCTTTCGACCGTTTATCAAGTGAACAAGGAAACCAAGAATTTGGGGTACAAAAATTAGCTTGAATTTTACTAAACGTCGCATATTCTAATCTTTTAGTCAGAATGTCAGCTAGTTGTCTCACTCTAAATGTGCAATAACATCTGCATCAACCTTTAGAAATCCGGAAAAAAAAGGGTTAAACTTCTCGGTCATCAACTGAATGTAGAGTCCATCAAGTGTGTCACGATAATTGAGGATAAAAATTCTACAATTGAGGGTGTGTGTCGGAAATCAAAAGGACTATGAATTGCACACAAAGTCCGATGCAAGAAAGGACAAGACATGATCTAGTATTAACATGAGGAGAGCGGAAAAGAAACCGAAGCTCATTTCTTGGTTGAACAACAGTAACTGTGGATAAGAAGACTTTGTTAGTTTGATGAACTTGATAAGATGGCCACATGGAAGGGGATCCAATGGTGAGCCCAAGGAACAAGGGAATAAAGAGATGTATCTTGCAGAAAATGAGCTTAAGCAATTAACTTGTAGCTCATAGCACACTAGGTGTTGCAGGGGCTATGTTAGGCAGGTTGCAAACGGAAACTACTAGTCCTAAAGAAGGAAATCTTGATCTTGAAATGATGCCCTCCAACCATTTGATGCAATGCCAAGTAATTCAATCCAACAAACAAAATCCTCTATAGAAAATACTAGCTCAACTTAAGGCCACTTAAGGCCCAACAAGCCACAGGAAACATAAACGCGTAATTTTGCGAAGAGACAGCTATCATACCATAGAGCAGAATAAAGACCTAATAGTCCCAAGACACAGAATAAAATCTCTATTCCTGAAAAATAATTGGCCAGGATGGGTGTCAACAGAATAAAACGAACAAAAAAGAAAAAAAAGTGATTGGCTAGCCGAGTGGCAGAAGACTGCTCATAGGAGAACAAAATTGAAGCTAGTTTATTCAAGTCATGATTGAAATTCCCTTTGGTACCATGCTGGAAATTTCATAGTAGATTCGAGCATGTTTGAGAAGTGTTTATAAACTGTTTAAATTATAAATAGATAGAAATGAGAAGTAGATAAGTGGGTGATACTTGTGCGATCCTCAAAGAGTGTAGATAAAAAATGGCTTGAGTATTTATAAATAGTTTATAGACATGATTCAAACATAGGCAAAGTAATTGAGAAAGAAACATGAAGAGGCATATAGATTTTTGTAACTATTCTGTTTCCAAACTATGCGGAGAGAGACCTTATTTATAGGGTTTCAAATTACAAAAATAGGAAATTTAAACTACCTACCAGAATCTTCCTTATGAGTACCTACCATTATCTTCTCAAGGATACCTACCGTAATTTGTCTTAAAGACTTGCAACAAAATGTTCTATACAAAGAGAAGGAAACTAAATTTAAGTCTTCTAAATAAGGAAACAAATAAAAATCCATGCTGCCTGTACTGAACAAGAAAAAACAAATGTTCAACTTCCATTAACAGTCACAACTTACAGATGGCCAACTAAGTAAATGACTTTTTTAGTTGGTGTTGAATAATGGATCAACAATGAATTCTTAAGTTAAAGCCATCTAGCATTCAATACAGTGAGGAAAACATATATGTGAATGAAGTATAGGTTACACAGTTGAATTTCTAATTCTTTTGTTATTGTCTCTTCCTTTGGATTCCACTTTGTAGTACTCATTGTTTGGCTCAATAATGACGATTGGAGCAATGCTTGGTGCAATAACGAGTGGAAAGATAGCAGATTTCTTTGGGAGGAAAGTAGTAAGTTTATTTCTAGAATATTACAGAATTTTAACGACAGAAAGTTTACATTTCTTGTTCATAATGCTAACTGGTCTTATATTCAGACGATGGGTTTCGCAGAATTGTTTACTATTGGGGGCTGGCTTGCAATTGTCTTTTCAAAGGTACTCTCTTCTTTTGTTTGCTCATGCTTTATCCTTGATGAGTTGACAAAGCTGAACTCTGGATATGTAAGTAGTATAACATACAATGACACTTAATTCTGTCATACAATGGTGCATACAATGTCTTTAAATGATGAAATGTGATAGTTCAAACTATCGATAAATTTAGAAATGGCACCGCCTACATTCATATAAAAAATTTATATTATGGTTTTTTGTTTAATTGCTTCTCATCAAAAAATGTTGCTTCCTGAGTAGCCCTGATGTCATATTACGGAATGCCGTTAGTGATTCTGATTTGCACTTGTTTTGCTTGTTCATGGAGGAGAAGATAGGATTCTGTAGAGAATAGGAGTATGTACTTGTGTCACTGAAGGTTTGAGAATGTTATCATCTCTCATATCTACTTCACAATGCCTCGAAGTTTGACCAAAATTTTCTTCCAGACTAATGTAATTTTTCAAAGACATTTTCTACATTAATTTCTTAGGTAGCTTTGGACTGTCCTCATCAATATGAATCAGATTGCCTATTGTGCATAGTTCAACAGTCTCTTGCTTATGTGCACCACCGTACTATTTTTTCCACCCTTATTTTAGTAGAATTGCACCAGCTTGTTTATCTATATTTTAGTTATCTACATGCATGCTGATGTATAGATGCAGAGTCTCAAATTTTTCCAGATTCCTCTCATTTTGCTGGTTGCTTAATTGTTGTCAACAGAGTGCTTGGACGCTTGACACTGGAAGGCTGTTAAAGGGATTTGGAATTGGACTTCTTTCATACGTGGTGCATACAATGTATTTTGCCCTCCAAATTTTCTTACTTACTAGATGATTCATTATATTCTAGATTTTTAATTCCATAGGTACCAGTATATATAGCGGAAATAACACCTAAGAATCTTCGAGGAGCGTTTACAGCAGTTAACCAGGTAAAAATAAAGAACTTTATCAAGTTATGAAAATTCATTTTGGATTTATAGATTCTAAGACCATATCATATGATGCTTTAGTTGATGATTTGTTGTGGCTCCTCTGTAATGTTTCTTGTTGGAAATGTCTTCACCTGGCGTACCTTGGCTTGGATAGGTAATTTTGTTTCCGTTCGTACTATATTTATTAATGCATGCATAAATCGTTAGAACATTAAGTGGTTGTGTTCGGTCAATTCAGGAGCTATTCCATGTCTACTACAGCTTGTCGGTTTATTCTTCATTCCAGAGTCTCCTAGATGGTTGGTAAGTTAAGAAAGAAATTGTTAAAGATGGTTAAGACAGCAGGGTTCTAGATTATTTTCATTAAGGCTGTTTCAGTTTAATAAGACAAACACACTTAATTTGGCTTATTAGTGGAGAAGTAATCTTAACAAAATAATCTATAATATGCTCAATAGTAATCTATATTCTACAGGCTAAGATGGGTCAGTGGGATGATAGCAAAGCGGCTTTGCAGCGCCTTAGAGGGGATAGTGCCGATATTTCTGAAGAAGCGGCTGAAATAAGAGTAACTCTTTGAGATTTCAGTTCTAGCTTGTACTGAATCTCATTTTATTCTTCTTATCACGAGTATTGTTAATTTACAGGAATATACACAATCTCTTGGACAACTCTCGAACTCTAGAATGATAGACTTGTTCCAAAGGAAATATGCTCACTCCCTTACAGTAAGGTTTCTACATAGGTTCTATCTTGGGAAACATTTTCAAATTTATGACTCAACAATAGCATAGAATAAATTTAAAATTTATTCAGGTTGGTGTTGGGCTGATGGTGCTGCAACAATTTGGAGGAGTCAATGCAATAGCATATTATGCAAGTTCTATATTTTCATCAGCTGGTAAGCTAGTTCTTAGTACTAATGATTCCAATAGAAAAAAAGAAACATGTATACTAACTAGTAACAATGGGTTGGTAACAGGTTTTTCAAGTAGGGCCGGAACAACAGCTATGGTTTTCATTCAGGTTATTTGGTTCTCGGTTGATTGATAGATTCTGCTGGTCACAGTTCTAAAATTGTTGCTTTCTGCAGGTTCCAATGACTCTTTTGGGAGTCCTCTTAATGGATAAATCTGGAAGACGTCTGCTGCTATTGGTAAATATTACGCTTCGTCGTTAAGTCCGGGTAGTCCTACATCACTCAGCTTGGGTGTTCTGCTACTGCAGGTTTCAGCAGCAGGAACTTGCTTGGGTTGCTTTCTCATCGGACTGTCATTTTTATTACAGGTTCTGCTTACATAAATCTGATTTTATCTTAAAATCTATGAATATTTCTGAATGATTTAGTGTGCCAAGTGCAGGACCTTCAAATTTGGAAATCGAGTCCCTTGCTAGCACTCGGTGGTGTACTGGTAATGAATCTTTTTTGTCTTGCAAAATGGATATACACAAAGTAGAAATGGCAAATCTCAGAAGGATAGACTGCTTGGTCATGTATTTTTTCTTTTTCTTTTTTTTTTTTTTTTCAACTTCACCGAAAAAGTAAAAATAAAAATTCTCCATTTTATTAGACAACATGGAGCCTAATCATAATGTACATTTATTCCCCATATTTTTTCTTGGGTCTATATTGGGTACTCCAATAGGGTCGTCCAAATATTCCTTTTGCTTAAAGAATTTTAAGAGGCCGGTCGTTTAGAGTGTGAGAGGCTGGGGATCACCTTGTACCCTTCTTCATTATGACAAACTTACAGTAACAATGCGGTCGTAGCATCGATGGTGTACCACTACGTATGTGAACTTCATTTCTTTTATATTATAATTACTTTCATTAGTAGGGATTAGGGCTTAAACCTGTAACACATTTTACCACCACCAAACCTCCCCCACAGACGCACACAACAAACTTAACAAAAAAGTATTACAGTCTTGTAGATTAATCTCTTCTTTGCTTTCCATCAGGTCTTTACAGGATCTTTCTCATTAGGCATGGGAGGAATTCCTTGGGTTATAATGTCAGAGGTGTGAACTTCATCTCATCTCAGAAACTGAATATTCGAAACTGATTATAATAAGTACACTTTGCCCTTAAAAAGGTGTTATTGTTTCAGATATTTCCAATAAACGTGAAAGGTTTAGCTGGAAGCCTTGTAACAGTGGTCAACTGGTTTGGTACTTGGATTATTTCATATTCATTCAACTTTGTAATGCAGTGGAGCTCTGAAGGTGATATTATCTCGTTCTGTATTACTTTTCCATTACTTAACACGGGCTTCCTTAATATCTCAGGAAAATTCGGGACGAATTAAGTTGATTCTCTTTTATGTTATTTCAGGCACCTTTTTCATCTTTTCAGTGGTATGTGGTTTTACTATCATATTCGTCGCAAAGCTGGTGCCGGAAACCAAGGGACGTACGTTGGAAGAAATACAAATGAGGACAGAAAAATAATGTTATATTTATACAATTATGCTAATGAGCTTTTAAGTGAATATAGCTTGACATCTATTTGGTTAGTAGCATCTTAGTTTAGTTGAATAATATTAAATTAGATTGGAATTTTCGTCTTGTGTCTCTCTCTCGAATTTTACTCATTGTTCGAAGATATGTCATGAGCGTATCATCTTCCTCGCAATCCTTGGGGCAACTTCAATGATATGTTTCATGTCTATGCTTAAATTTTTACATGAATCAATTGCATTGAATTTGATTCTAAAATGCATTTGTATCTTCCATGTACATCAGCTTTATGTTCGTGATCATTTAACTTGTGTGTGACCTATTTCATTGCCCCAGTTGTATGAAATCCATTTTTCTCTTTGACGATATATGTAATGTCTCTATAGCATGTTTGGTAAAGCAGATTGGCAGCTAAAACTGTGTATTGTACTGTCCAATTTCGTCTATATTGCATGCTAAACATGTCATAATTAGTGTCTTGCTACATTGTTTAGTGGTTTGTATTTCGAATGTTGTGATTTGAAGTGATGCTCTTAAGCCATTTAACGTGATCTATGAGATGCGATAGTGTAATATGGTATTCGAGCAGACAAACGAATAATTTGACTTAACGTGTACCTGATCCAATTTAGATATCTATTCCGATCATATACTACATTACTTGCATTCATTTGTATTGGCTTTACCTGCTGTCCGTATAGTCTTTGTGAGTAGATGACTGACCGAAAACTTGCTCTTTTGATGCGAGCCTCGTATTCTTGCCCAAATTTTGAAATGAAAAGAGACTTGAAAACAATGCTGGACTCCTAAATTTATATTCTATCATCATTCATTTCGATTAGAAGGGTTAAAGTAACTTTGGATTAGTAGTTAATGACTAACAAAGAAATTGTCTTACGATTTCCTCTGCTCTGTCGTGCATTTTTTGTGCAGAGAGAGAGATAGAGTTGTGCAACAGATACTTTTAGAGATGAAGGTTGGTGGTTTATGCTTCTTAATCACAGTCCATATAGAGGCAGCAAGAATACAAAAAATACTTCTGGTATTCCTTTCGAAGCCCAATCCCCAGTTTATCTTTGCATCATTGTACTCGAAGCCAAGTTGGGATTCATGAATCTTTATTGAACTCCACGTTGGACTTCACTAAAATGATCATCAGATCTTAGGGGTTGCCAAAAGAGTGGTGTTCCAAGACCAGCACATTTGTATTTCAATGTGGAGAAGCGTCAATCACCTTGGAAGCTATGATTGTTCTTGGGTGTGATCAGATATTTGCTGGGATAAATTAAAGCTTGCCGAAGTTGGTGTGACTAATGTTGTTTGGATGGAAAGAGTAGATGCAATCGAAAGTTCTCTTCAAAGTGAAATCAGAGGATGATGCACTTGCTACTTACAGATTTCCTCCCAAATTGAGTAGTGTGAAAGCAGGGATTTTGAGCACTAAGGCTACTAAAGACGCAGTAGACAAAACTTTTCAGGATGAAAGCAATGGAATTAATTACCTCGAAAGAATGCTCAGAAGGAATAATAATAATCGAACAAAGGTTGATTTTGATCGACAAGGTAACACACAGTTTATCAAGGAACAAATTTAGATAATTGTGTACATATTGCAGCTAAGAAACGTTCAGGCTCTCTTATCTCTGTGCAAAACGCATCCTCCTATAATTTAGAAAATTTCAAGAGGAAGAAAAGTACCATTTACACCTGGGTAGATTACTGAAGCAATATTTCACCAATAAAGAACTGCATTGCTCTATCTAGATCTTCTACTACATTACAGAGCAGATATGCAGAAGAAACAAAGCATATCAATGTCAACGAGTAATGAACGCCATCCGGCTGTATCTAACTATTTTTTCAAGGGTTTCCATGCTCCCGTTGAGAGTATATCCATCTAAATGAACGAAAAGGATGAACAGAGCTTCAGTAAATTAGTGGGTTCATCAAGCTAAATTTTCAGAGTAAATCAGTTTTTGGATGTCTTGAAACCACCAAATCCCATCATAGCCGCAACATCAGGATCCATCTCAGGTTCCTCCTCGGCAGCCTTTTCTTTCTGAGTGACAAAAATAGACAACAATTACCACTAGAAATCACAATTTGAAGAGAACACTAAAGGAGCACAGAATCCTAGCGGGGACAACAACAAATTATATTTTAGATGAATTGACAAGCAAATTTCGGCATTTCCTCGTGATATGCATTTGTATGACCACGAATAACATTCTAATATATTTCCCTGCAGTACTAACCTTCTTCTCTTTCTTTTTCTCTCGACGTTGACGTTTTCTTTCCTCCTCTTCTTGCTGTTGTTTCAAGATCCGCTCGTCAAAATCTACAATCAAAATGAAAAAGAGCATTAATAGATTCTCTGATTACTCCAGAAATAGCCCATGTAAAAACATTTACCAGACCCAGATGGATGAAACAGTCAAAAAGCAAAGTGGCGAGGATCTCTGCAATCATCATTACATAATCACAGAGAAAATAGCATTACCTCACTTGTAGATGAGACTAAATTGGAAATACTGAAATTTTTGAAGAATTATTCTTTTTTATTTTTTTTATTTCCAGAGCTGTGCGCTTCTCAAGAGCCGCTCATCCCAAAGTACGCCTAATGTTGAGTTTTCCTAAATGGTAGGCTTTTCCACTATTTGTTGGAAAATTTTGCTTTCTTCATCCAAACAAACCCTAGTCAAGCTGAGTTTTTTATTTGTTTCCACATTCAGACGATTTAGTCTAGTTTCCTTTCAATTCGTATATGACATATGATAATTCTTTAAAGAATAATTATGGTAGGTTAACTTTCCTACTTTTGGTTATATGCAAACCAATGAATATCTTTGTTTTGTAATTAAAAAGATGGAAAAATAATACAAATTTTCTAGTCCTCTCCCTATTTCTAGTCCTTGGGTTGAACTAGTTTCTTGTTCTTTGTACAGGATATATTATGATAATTTTAAAGGAGAAATTACAGCAGGTTAATTAAAACTTTCTTCTTTTCGGTTATTAGACACCCTATAAAACGAGTATTTCTCTTTGTAATTAGAAAGATGGAATAATTATACAATTTTTTATTCTTCTCCTTATCTTTCTCAATTACTTTTAATCTATAATGTTTATTCTCAACCAAGAAAATAATGGCCCCACAAAAAATTATATAATGGAGACTGGAGAGGGAAAATGCAGCATTTACTGTACTCTTATCCTAATACAAGTGTAATTTGGATTAAATCAAATGAGCGCGAGTCTCTTTTTGGGATGGAGCATTAGTTCACCTCACTTTCAAAGTCTTACCTTGCTCAGTAAAGCCTCCAGTATCTTTCCGCTTCTTGAGATTTTCAAACCGCTGCTGGACCTGCACGAGGGAAATAACTGTTCAACATAAACCCATTAAAAGAGGTCTGAGCTAGAAAAACTTTCTATTCAGAATGTTTTGGAACTGCACGTATTATGCATAATAAAGATAACACGCAACTTTCCAATCCATACAAGCATAGAAACAACAGAGCAATATCTCCAAGCCGGAGACATTGGACATCCATGCTAAAACACTCTAGGTTTGACATTTCTTCAACCATATCCAGTATGAAAACTTTTAACTAAGCACCGAGGTTAGAGAACTCTCTTGGTTTTCTTCTGGATGCTCAACATCGAGAAGTGTCCGCCCTTGCTCAATTTGGGTGTTGACGGATTATGTCATGGATGATTTAAATTGTCTTATTACAAAATTAGACTATAATTGAACTACTAGTTGAAGTTGTGCTACAAAATGTTCACTTAATTAAACGTATTACTCTGGAAATGTGATTTCAAACCTCAACAAAACTTTATGCCACCTATATATATTTTTTCTACATTTGTAAATACCTGTATAACAATAGCAAAAAGAACTTATCCATGCACTCACCTGTAATGCATATTTTTGTCTACATTTTGTATACCACAATAACAATAGCAAAAAGAACTTATCCATGTACTAGTGTGTAACCCAAAAATTATATGAAACACACACCAGCGTGCACGCTTAATATTTCGAATGTTCTGATAGCGTGTCAGATCCTAATTTTATGTCATTTGTCATTTTTCCCTATTACTGTCATGTGATACCTATGTATAGTCTGTAATTGTGCTTCCATACGGAAATTTTACAGCCACATAACATTGCTTAAACTCATTGAACAATAAAATTTTTCTACTTGGAAATGTTAACTCAAGTAGCTCGGCATAAAAAACCTAAGATACCAACACATTTTTCCCCTCAAAAATAAGCCCCATCAGATGGTTTCAGCCACACAAATAAATTACCCCACTCTGTCTCAAAAGAATGGAACCACAATAAGACGGTCAGTATATACCCAAAGACGGGTTTATAATGCTTAAATGAATATTCTGCGCATTGATTACCACAACATGAGAAATTCATGTTATTTGTTTCGATCTATACGATCGAAGAAAAGAGACAGACGAGTTTTTAGACTCAAATAATTCTACCCTCTTCCCTGAAATGATAGCATCACTGATATTCAATTGTCCTTGATTTAATTTACATTTTTAGTAAAAAGAGCTTGGGCATATTACAAGAAGCAAATCTACAAGTAGAGAATAATCAGGTGCTGATAGGCACTGCTAGTTTCCAGCGATCGACGGGAAATAACACAGTGACGGAGGATTTGTAAAAAAAATTAAAAAATAGCTGGATTGCTACCCTAATCCTCCATCTATTTTGCTTTTTCTTTATGAGTGGGTGGGTGGGGATAAAGAAAGATGTTCTGTCAGTGGTAACATAGAGGTGACAATACACATTAGAAATGCTTCAGTGCTTCACCCACTACTTGATCAATTGACCTAAAATCTTTGATTCATTTCTCATTTAAAAGCATAGCATTTCTATCTATTGACAGAGGTGTCAAGCTTTGATATTTAGCAATATAACAGATATACTTTTACAGGCCTACCTGCTCCAATGTTGCCCTTTCAGATCGCATAGACATGCCCAAAGCTCGTTGATCTGAGAAAAAAAATCCAAAAAACCAGTCACATATATGACCTCAAATAAACTACATTTGACAAATAAACAATGTTAAATAGCCACATATGACATACGCTTCTTTCCATTTATATGGTCTAAGTAGTTTGCAGAATCTTTTACTACACAGTCACAAACCGAGCAGAAGTATCCAGCCTGCAGAAAAAAATGATTGAGGTCTGGTCAGCTACAGCAATGAAGTTATAGAACTTCATAGAGAATGAATATTCTAAAACTCTTCTGTAATTATTCAAAAGTTCGATTGATAATTTCAAATAAGCAATAGTTACTACTCCATTTTAAACTGGCTTTGTTGAAAATTCTGTACAATATGAGGATTGTAATAGGACAGAAATGTATGCTTTTCAGTTATTTTTTAAGGGGTTAATAAGGTTTTCTATCTTAATCATTGCACCTTCTATTTTACAGGGAAAGATGGATATGAGCTTTAGATATTTATAGATGCTAGATGAGAGAACTGAAAAGGTTAAATGGAGTGATTTTGTTGGACTCTTCCAAGTCTGCGAATCTTCATCAGAAACCCAATTGTGTTGGGGGAGGATTGCTCTCTTGATAATGTATTTGCAGTACGATTCAAAATTAAGTAAATTGACGATCAACTGGTCAGATAAAAAATTTAACCAAGTCACAAGTGAACATGACTCTTCAGTGATTAAGTCAAAAGTGAATATTACTCCAGTGCCTTTACCTCAAATGAATACTCTCTCCCTATGACGCATGGACACTCCTGGGTGTCCAACACTTAAGTGACACTGACAGTCTTCAAACAGACAAGCACAATAATTAAACAGGGCATGCCACCTTGTGTGTCCAATGTGTGTTGGAGATTGTCCAACACGTGTTAGAGTCCAGTACATGTTAGACAGTTGGATCCATATGGAAGATACTCTTTTGACTACACAGGTTTCAAAATTTAGTTCCAGACACTTGTCAATGTTTCTCAAACTTGCCTCGAGCATTCATCAGGCAATTAAATATGCGACTCAAATTTTCAAGCCTTCTAGCGCAAGGAAATAAATATTCAAAAGTACTATCATCTCTAAAATCTTTACAGGTAATGTATACTTGATGGGTTGTTTAGGACACCTGGAAAAGTTAAAGAAGGATTTATCTCACTTGATCTTCATAAGCTAAGCTCCAAATGAAAGGCATAATTGCTTGTTGACTTATAATCTCCCACATAATAAAAACTACTCAAATATTGAAATTGATAATGTTATATCATTACTCATAAGTGTATATATAGTATGCGGTCAAAGTAAGAGATTGAAGAGGTTCATTTTTAAGTCATAATACCTACATATGGACGCTTTTTTCTTTCATTTATTGGCAGGGAGAATCTGATCATGGGAAGAAGATAGCGGGAAACACCACAGGCAAGGAAAACTCAATTCTTCCTATCTGACTAATACTTGCCAACAAAATCATCAATATGTACAAGTTGGGATGGAATACAGGATCTAAAAATCCATAAAGAACACCAATGTGCTCTTCATTCTCCAGAGGGAATTCTTATCGAATATTGAGTGACTTCTTATAGAATTAAAAACTAACCACTTTCTGAACTCAATAAACACTTATTAGGTGATCCTAATCTTGAGAAAATAGATTATTATTATGTCCAAATTGGGACAAAACTCAATGTGAACCTAATACCTAAACTTTTTAGCCAACAATAGTATGAAGATTATAAGGATACAGTTAGAATATACCTGCTGACTTAAAGGTGCGATTGGAGTAACAACCTGCAAAAAGGATTTAAAAAAAAAAAGCATGCATAAGTATATGCCAAAAGAAGATAGAATCTATGCAATCAAAAAAAGAAAAAAACTAGCCCACATCCTTATCTATTTCTTCTAAAGATGGACAAAAAATAATTTAAGAACAATCTAGTATGGTAAGTGATGTGGTAAATAACCAACAACTAAAGCAACATCCAAACTCCATAAGTCACAATGAAAAGATTTCTGAAAAAGAAGCCAAAAATTTACAGCCAGTCGTACATGATTGGTGTCAGTGAAACTTATGGCACACAAATATGCCTCATAAGATGAATAAATACCAACCCTTCAATGCATCACTGATAAATAGAAATTTTTACCAAATCAAAGGCACGTTTAATTAAATCCTGATGCAGTGGAGTCTATGGCACTTGCATACATGGAAGAACTCAACCACCTGAAGCTTGTGGAGTAGACCACGGCATCAGGCAGGCCACGATGTTGGGCTCGGCTGGTTTTGCTGCTGCTTATGTCTAAGTTACTTGTTTCTGTAAGGGTGTTTTAGTATCTTAATTGCACAGGGTTTATTTTCCAAGTTGTAGGGTATTTAATCATTGTCTTTTTCTTGGTGTGATAATTGAATAAACAAAACTCAAAGAAGAGTTCTTCAAAATTTCAATCTCAATTCAGTATTCGTGGAATCAACAAATTGTTGATCACGTGTTCATCTAGTTCACTTCACTACCTGCATCGAATCCCCTTAGAAATGGCTCTCATGCTTGGCAAAGAATACAGACTCTCAAGTGTCTTTTAACATGTGATTTTACTAGTAAAATAATTTGGACACAACATTATTAGATGCAATTACTAGAAGAACCAACAAAGTAATAATGTCTAAAAAAAGAGAGAGAAACAACAAAAATCCTTATTCCCTATTACGATGCGGTCTTAATAATTCGCCTTAACATTTACTATTACTTTTACCACAATTTGGATACATCAACACTGAATCCATCAAGACGAGAATTTCAAGAACCACGATTAGACATTTTAACTGCAAAACTACAAGATACTGTCTCAATTGGCAATAGAGTGAAACCATTGATTGATCTTAGTTTTCCTTCTAATCCCCCTCCACAAACAAAAAAAGAAAGATAAAATGTCTTAGTCTAGACATGCCGCTTCTCTACAGGGGATTAAGAGTGCAAAAGCAGAAAATTGCACGTATTACCAAAAAGCTCCTAATTAGATATTTAGCTTTATGTTTAAAGATAACCATGGTCATAATAGAGAGAATCTGTAAATACACTCCAACAAACTTTATTTTATGCTTTTTATTTTACTTTAGCAACAATCATTTATTGTTTTTTCCTCGTTTTTCAATTAATATAATTTAGTTAGAAGTCAATATCTAAAAAATTTATTATAATATAATTAATTTAAGTAGTGGAGTATTGAAACTTGCATTTTTATTAAATGCAATTGTGATAAAGTACAACTTGCAGTTTTATTACATACACTCATGATAAAATACAAACACCGAGTGAGTTTTCTCCAAATATAGACAGTCAAATCCATTCTATTTTAAAAAGTTAAAATAAAGAGTTTCTTGGAGCCTAATTTTAAGGTTTGACTCTTTAAAATAAAGAGCATCTCAAGTTTAAAGTCTCTTGGAGATACTCTTAAGAGTAAAAGTTCCAAATAAATATATTACATTGAGCGTTAAATAAGAAATAGAATATCAAAACAGGTTTCAAATCCTTCACAGCTAAAAGCCAAAAAAATCTAAGGTTCCATGTCTTTCATAGTGTTGCATTGGAGATAGAGAGCAACATTTTAGGCCTCTATAAACTTCAGTCATTCGTTGAGCAAAAAAAAAAATTTATATATATATATATATAATGAAAACGCATGCCTCAAATTAACTATACATCTAACAGAAGATTCACTGTAACAGTAGTAATATAAAAAGTGAAGCGTCTTGTATCTGAAAAGTAAGGTAGCTAACCTGAGTCTTTCCCAATCGAGATTCAAGGTCCACTTCATAATCCCTGTGCTTCAAAGGTTTCCTTTGCACCGGCGGACCCCTCGCTGTACCAAAACGTATAAATTTAATTTAGTAATTCAAAGCTGCAGACCAAAATTCAATGTTACATGCACTGTAAACCAATGCAATTTAATTTTTCAATTACTCTAATATACAGCTGCATACATATATCCAACAAAATTAATCAAACTAAACGACTCACATTTTGATTTCGATCGTGCCTCCCCCTCCTACAATATAGAAATAAATTAATCTATAAAAATTCAAAAAAAAGAAAAAGAAAAAGGTGAAGTAAAATTAAATTTCGGTGACGGCTAGAAAACCTTTTCTTCTCGCTCACGGGCTCGTTGTAAATACTCTTCTCGATCGAATTTCCTTCGAAAAGTGTTGTCTACTCCTGTAGGCTGCTAACAAAACAGCCAAAATTACTCTTGAAATTCTTAAAATAGGACCAACAATATATACACAATCGATGAGTATATTGGTAAAAGAACTTACGGTTTTGCTGGATTCAGCCATTTTTTCATTCAACTTTTCTGAATCAGAAGTTAATAGAACTTTATTTTGATTCGAGAGTGAACCGTGAAAATTAGCAAAATAATCGAATTGAGAAAAGAGCGTAGACTGATTTTTTGGGGGAAAACGCTAGAATAATAAAGGAAATTTATAAAGCCCTAGTTCTTGCCCTGAGCTCAGAGAGGCGGTAGTTGTACTTGTATTGAGGTTCTTGGGCAATCTATTTTAATTGTACTACAAGTCCTCAATTATTCATTATGAAATAAAGTAAAGGACAAAAAAATTAGTGAATCATCCACATCTCCGTCCCTTAGAATTACATGATCACCTCAAGGGTACCTTGGCTTACGGTCCAATCATAGAATCATGTTCAATAAGTGGAACACAGTAACTATATTTTGTATATTAATGTCATGTATCGAGCGTACTTCTTTTTCAATGTGGCACAACAAGGTCGCCAACGACTATGTGTACGGTTTATATTATCTAAGAATTATGATAGGGGTACATCCCCCCTAACACAAGGGTCGACATAAGGGCTAGTAGCTCCCCTTTATTGGAGGGGTGACTCGAATGTAATCCTATGCACATAAAATTGCAAGGTTCGTATTTAGTCCCTGATTAACTCCCATTAAAATAAAATTATTTATTATCATACTCATTTTTAATCACATATTCACGATATTCTGTAAATAAATTCAAAAAAAATCTTACTTTTTAACCATATTCTTCAAAAAATCATTATTTAAAACATCATTTTCTTTCAATTTCTCTTTATAATGGTTATCAAGGCTTAGAAATATGCATGCATTTACTTTTCTATTGTTAATTAGTGGAAGGCTGGGGATAACAATGCATTGAAAAAAGTTAGGGACTTAAACGCTATAATGTGTAAAGATTAAGGACTTCCCCACTAAACAAGGACTGAATCTTTTGAAGCTCAACCTACCATACCAACCGTGTTTGTACACATGTCTTTAAATTATAGGTGGAACCATGTCAAGAAATATAAATTGTATTATTATAATTTTATAAATAGTTACAAATAATTGTAAAAGGAAATAAATATAAAAGGAAATATTATAAAATCAACTACTAAAAAGAAATATTATAATGGAAAATATTCCATATTATATGTCTATATTTAACACCCTCCCCTCAAAACTCAATATGGGATAGAATATTGAGTTTGAAGAAATCGATCAAATCAAATCTTCCAAATTGAAAAACTGCAAGCACTTGAGGTCTTTGTCATTGTTGATGGAGATAAGTGACTTCNNNTTTTTTTTTTTTTTTGTTAACATAAAAAAAATCTCTAGTTTGTTTAAGAGGCGGGGAGAGTGCCGGTAAAGTTCAAGGTATCGACCCTCCAAATAAAACATAATTAAATTCTCAAGAAAAAGATTTTTTTTTTTTTTTTAATGTAGTTGATGTTTCTAAAAAACAGGATAGAAATATTAAAAATTTAGGAAACGTGACCACTCATTATTTGAGAGTTTCTTTGCTGAGAACTTTGAGAAGGAGTTGTAAAGTGACGACCCGACATTGTTGAAGTAGCTGCAGAAGACCTCTGAGACATCTCTTTTAAGTTACTGATATTGTGCTTTTGAATTTTATGTGTTGCAAGTTTAACCCAAGACCGAGTTAAACCTGCTCTGATACCATGTCAAAAAAAAAAATGTAGCCCCCACCCCCGTGTGTGTAGCCTGACAGGGGGAAACAAGCCCCTATAATGGTAGTAAAGTTCATTAGAAATACAATGATGCTATAAATATGGATAAATTTGACGAAAAGTGTTTATAGACAATATCGAAAGATGGGAAAAATAAAAACAAAACAAGCGGATCACATTTCGTTACGTCATCGTCGGTAGAAAAATTTGTCAAAAATTTTCTATACTTAGGACTCTTTCCTTATAAATAATAAAAGAAAAAAAGAGTGTATTTGATTCATATAAAAAATATCGTTTAAAAAAGAAATTGTTTTTCTTATTTTGAGGAAAAACAAAAAGTTACTTCCAAAATAAATTATTTTTTCTTAAAAAAGAAAAATTAGACTTTTGAAAATTTAAAAATATTTTCAATAGAAAATATAGTAATAAACACTAAAAATTTGGATGAAAATTTAATATTTTCAAATAAAAAATAAATGCAACCAAATCCAACCAACAAATATTATTTTTCAACAAAAATAGCGCAAAAGAGAATTTGCTTCCAGATTACGTAAACATCCCACCAAAATTCATCACCTGATACGATAAATAGTATAATTTCATAGTCTTACAAGAACGCCTTGCTGTGAAATATACATATATACTGATTCAAAGTGAAGAAAATGTGGAGATCAGAGATCTGTTTAGCATTGGCAACTTTAGCTTTATTCTTGTTTGCATCGGTTCTTGCAGATGATGTTGTTGTATTGACCGAAGAAAACTTCGAAAAAGAGGTCGGTCAAGATCGTGGCTCTCTCGTTGAGTTCTACGCTCCTTGGTACACTTCAAAATTCCATTTTCATCTCTACGACTTTTTATGAGTAAAAAGCCTCATTGGTCACTGAACTTAACACATTGTCACGACATCAAAATTCCATTTTCATCTATACGAGTTTTTATAACCTGTACATGTAATTCAATATTTTTATATTTGAAATTTGATTTTTGTATTGCCTTGTTTGATTATTTCTTATTGTTTATCAGTGTGCTCAGAAAACGAAAATATTTTGTTTACTGGATCTATGATTTTGTTTTTTTTTTTTTTGGTTTATTGATCTAAATCCGACTTTAGTCGAGTTTGTGATCGTTTCTGTATTGCCTGTCGAATCTGATGTTATTTTCCTAGTATCATATCAGCACTTTTAATTGTTACAACTTACAACTTCACCAATTAGAAGCAAATTAAGAAGGGAGGTTTTGCTTCGAATAAGTAATGCGAAGTTCTTTAAAATTTAATTAATGGAGAATTGTACTCAAGTGGTAGAGATTAGTGGTTGCTGCTTTGGAGTACATGATTCAAGTCGCCGATGTTGTGTTGATCTTGATGCCATGGTATCTACTAAATTTGTTGCTAAATCAAGATTTTTGGAGGTAGTTATGGTGTGAATTGCTCATAACTGTTTCTATCTAGTACCATACTACAACAAACTAAGACCTGTTCGCAATGAATTTGGGGTCTGCTTTCTATACTATATAGTGTTTTAAATTCTTGTTGCCGTATTTTTTGTCCATTTGATTGTTATGAGTGAGCTATAATTTGGTGGTTCCGTGTAGGTGTGGGCACTGTAAGAAGCTTGCTCCTGAGTATGAGAAGCTAGGTGCAAGTTTCAAAAAGGCTAAATCTGTTTTAATTGGAAAGGTTAGCCCATTTTGAAACTAGAGAAGTTTTCTTTATATTTGAAACTCATGTGAGCACATGCGAAATCATACATCGATGTTGAGTTACTGTGGTTGTTGTCCTAGAATTCCTCAGGAGTTTATGATCTCACCTGCAGTTCTGATGTCAAAATCATCAATATAGTCATTGGTGAATTGCTTCTTTTTTTTGTATGTTAGTGTTGTATTTTCCTATGCTACTTTAGTATGCACTGTGCCCAATTTCTACCCATAATCCTGTGAACTCATTAAATTTAGACCAATGTGGTCTGTGAATTGAATTATAGAAAAGCAGAATACTGCAAATGACCAAGAGTGTGTCTTCTTATCCACATCTGTTCGCCAGCTACATATATCTCATACGTTGGATATCCATTTTAGTGGTGAGAATAAGTTATAGTTTACTCTATGAACTTAGCCATTCCAATGTGAAAGCAATACCATTTCTCTGGGTGCTATGGGTTTATTGCAATACTTATTCCCTTAATTTATGAATTACGATTTGTTTACATGATAATATATTGGTAAAAATCTCTTAGAATATCCAAAGACAATTGTAGAATAATCAAAGATGCATTCACTATTTTTTTCCCTTTCTATTTGATTATCAATTGTCTAATTACAATAAATTAAAAGTCATTTCATATTATGATGTTATTCTTTCATTGTCAATTTATTATGGATAACTTGATTGCTAAAAGGAGAATGGTGACATTTACCCCACTAATTTATTTTGTTTGCTTAACTGTGTGTAACTGTAACAGATTTAATGATAACCAGGTGGTTGTCACACTTGAGTTTTATGAGACAAATCAGGAAGGGAGATTTGTTTCCATAACTTGATCAATTATGGTATTAAATACATCTGAGGATCAGTTTGTTGGGTGGGTCACAGTTCTTGGGGGTTTCTTACAGCAAACATTAGATTTTGTTTAGCATTTGACACTAGAAATGATTGAACTTCATCTTTCATTTAGTTTCAGTTAGTAAACAATATTTAGATGTTGAAGTTGTATTAAATTATTTGCTGTAGGTTGATTGTGATGAGCATAAGGGCGTGTGCAGCAAATATGGGGTTTCAGGGTATCCCACCATCCAGTGGTTTCCTAAGGGGTCTTTGGAACCCAAAAAGTGAGTTTTTGCTCCTTACACACCTCCCCGTCCCCTGCCCCCCCCAAAAAATGGAAAACCATGGAACCATTATAATGTATAATTTCATTATTTGCTTAAATTTAACCACATGAATATACATTACTCATTGATGAGTATTTTGTTTCTTAGGTATGAAGGTGCAAGAACGGCAGAAGCCCTTGCTGAATTTGTAAACAATGAAGGAGGTAAACATTTTTTGTTAATTTATTTTCCTTCCACCACGTCATGGCTATGTAGGCACATTATTAAATTACAATTTTGAGAAACAATGCGCCTTTAAGGTATAATTATTTTTCCCTTATTGAGAGCAAAGGAAGGGTTCACATAATGTCGAAATGTCTCACTTAGAGCCCGTTTGATACACATTAAAATGGGAGAATGCATTTTTTTGAAGTGATGTGATGGAAAATATGTAGTTGAAAAATAAGGAAAAGTTATTGACGTAATGGAAAATATTATTTTATTAAAGAATGTGTGGTTGAAAATGAGTAGAAGAATGAGAATGAAAAAAATAATGTGGCCCAAACACGAGCTTATAAAAATTTATTTAAATCCACTTATGGTCGAGATAGTTGATTAGTGAGTGAAGCAACGTATATGATATTAACAGAAACTATTCTCTGTTTTTCGTTGAAAAAAAATTACTTCAAAATTATGTGAAGGAAAACACTTGTTTCATATTATATTTATGGCCATCTGATAGTTACTTTACTGAAGTTTAGTCAGTACACTTCGTTGAATTTATTGTAGACCCACGCCTAATGATATTTTTTCAACATTACTTACAAATTTAGTTTTGTTTTCAGGGACAAGTGTCAAGATAGCTGCAGTCCCTTCAGATGTTGTGGTTCTGACTCCAGAGAACTTCAATGAGATTGTCCTTGATGAGGCAAAGGATGTCCTTGTTGAGTTTTATGCACCCTGGTAAGTGTACATGTAAAAATATTTTTTTCATACTCTATTTGCATGCAAATGTGAGATTTGGTTGTCGTATTTAGAGGGTGTTTTGTGGGGATTAAAATTTGATTTTTAGTAGATTGTGGTAGAAGGTTTTGAAATGTGTGGTTGAAAAGTTGTGGGACCATGAAAGATGTGGTTAATATTGATTGTTTGACTTTGACTTGGATTAAAATCATATTTTAATCCGGACCAAACAAGGGCTTAGTAGTTCTTCAACAGTGGGTTCAAATAGTAGCCACTACTTGGTATTATAGATAACTCTCCTGAGTGAGGAACAAATTAGTTAATTAATGTTGTTGAGCAATAAATCTGATTTGTGATATATTTTACAGGTGTGGTCATTGCAAAAACCTTGCTCCTGTAAGTGCATTACTGGCTTATCGATGAAGCTTGTAGTTGCTCTTGAATAACTGTTTGTATATTATCTTTCTCTTTTCAATTTTGTAGATTTATGAGAAGGTTGCAACAGCATTTAAGCTGGAGGAACATGTTGTCATTGCTAATGTTGATGCTGATAAGTACAGGGATCTTGGAGAGAAGTACGTACTTTTTAATAGTTATATCTTATAATTCCTCTTCCCCCACAAAAATGCACATGCCCCACCACCGCTACACGCGCACTTGCAAACGCTCCCAGTCCCCCCTGCCAGACTGCAAAAGAAATGAAAAATGGCACTGGTTGTCTCATGCACATCATCTGCTTATCAGATATGGTGTAAGTGGTTTTCCTACTTTAAAATTCTTCCCGAAGCACAATAAAGCTGGTGAAGACTACGATGGTGGTCGAGATTTAGATGACTTTGTCACTTTCCTCAATGAGAAGTGTGCAACTAGCCGCGATGCTAAAGGACAACTAACTTCCAAGGTTAGCAGAAAACTAACTAGCATTCCTTATGGATTATTCACTCGTATTCTAATTCAAACTTGCTTTTTTCTCCTTTAGGCTGGTATTGTTGAAACACTTGATAGCTTAGTGAAGGAGTTTGTCAGTGCGGAAGGTGAGGAGAAGAAAGCTGTATTCAGTCAGTTGGAGATGGAAGCTGAGAAGCTGAAGGGCTCCACCGCAAGGTTTTATAAAGGCTTATTGTAGTTTCATTTGTATAGAAGAACCCTGACCTTGTTGGAATTAGTGTTATTGGTCAATATTCCAGTATTGCTTACCTGTCAAATATATGATATACTAATGGGACACATTTGAACTGTTTTTCACTTTTTCTTCTTTCGTTGATTTTTCATAGATATGGGAAGATCTACGTGAAAGCTGCCAAGAGCTGGATGGAGAAAGGGTCTGATTATGCCAAGAATGAAATTCAGCGGTTGGACCGCATGCTTGCCAAGGTAAGCATTAATGTCTTTGAGTTACTTTGTCTGAAAGTTCAGAGAGATGTGATCCTCATTTATCAAAATTGTCTTTCGAAATCCAATTTCGTGTCTTAGATTTGACAACAATATAATCTTCAAGTACAGAATTCTCTTAATTAGCTTGTACCTGATGTCTCTTTGGTCGTTTTTTATGTAGTCAATTAGTGAAGCAAAGGCTGACGAGTTCACTCTGAAGAAGAATATCCTGTCTAGCTTTGCTTGAAGGCAGTGAGGTATTACACCGTTTGACGCTTGAGATTACTGCATCTATTTCTTTGAGGGGCTTCCCCTTGTCAAGGAACACGTCATCTTGCCCATTTCACTTGTGTTGCATATCTATTAACCCCCGGAAGAATTGATAAGAAGAGAGGGATTAGTTGATTTCTTTTACCGGTAACAATAATGTAACATTTTATTTAGGGGATTTTTCTGATAATTATAACGTGTTTTTGACAAGTGAACGAAATTATATAGTTAATGGAGTGCTTCTTGGTTATCTGTTGTGAAGCCAGAGAGGTGCTTCATCAATCATACAACTCAATCTTGTGATGCATATAGAATAACTTGACATCTAACAACCTGTGCTGCCTATATATTTTATCATCCTTGGGCTTGCGTGCTATAAGCTCACCCTTTCTCTAGCTCCTCTCAATCCTTTAAAGTTGCATTTGGCACATCGAATTAGACTGGATAAAGAATTCCTGCTACTTGTACAGTTTTTTTGATAGATGCAGCTCAGTCAGTGAATCAAATAGTTCTATATAAGATTTTCTCTAAATCTTCCGGTCACCGAACTATCACTCAACTGACANTAAGATTTTCTCTAAATCTTCCGGTCACCGAACTATCACTCAACTGACAGTTAATAGGTCTAAGTAAGAATCTCACTAATTCTACTGACCATAGCATTTATAACAATACACGAATTAACGATATCATATATTCAATTAGATAATTTCATAATATGAAATAAAAGCATATATATGCACGTTTATCTAATTATGACATGCATCATGATATAACAAATTAATTCTTTTAGAAGATAAGTTCAATTATAGTCCAAAAATAAAATTAACATCATTTAAGTTTCATTTTACAAATCCTCAATCCTATTTAAATCTCTGTTGCAACACATTCCTAACAAATGGGAAGTGATATCAGAATTCTCATATTCTACTTATCACCAAAAATTTATGTCCCAAAATATTCGCGTCATGTTCCACATTGGTCATGTTACAGATCCATTTACTTATATCAATAAGCACGGAACATTTTAACAAATTCAATAACCCATGCTTTTCTAGCATTCCTTCTAAGGATGCTAAAAGTGTGCATATATTCAGCCATATCTAATCGAGCACAAAATTGAAAAACAAGCTACAATGGATCATATGACCTAATCAAGATTTACACAACTCATGAACGTATATAAAACATGGTATTTTAAATACTTTCGGAATACTTTTCATTTAAAAAAAATGAAACACTTCAAAAAAAAAAAACTCCCACTAGGAAAATACCACTTCACAAATATTCTTAATATTTATAAAATTTTCAGAATTTAATTAAGCCCAAAAATATATTTTTTAATACTTTTTTTATAATGTATTTCAATAATAAAATAAAATAAAATTTTGATTTTCTGAAAATTAATTTTAATTGCACATAAAAATCAAGATTATTCCAAGGATTCAGTTGCAATTTTCGAAATTGTTATNTTCTATGTAAGATTTTTTCTAAATCTTCCGGTCACCGAACTATCACTCAACTGACAGTTAATAGGTTTAAGTAAGAATCTCACTAATTCTACTGACTATAGCATTTATAACAATACACGAATTAACGATATCATATATTCAATTAGATAATTTCATAATATGAAATAAAAACATATATATGCACGTTTATCTAATTATGACATGCATCATGATATAACAAATTAATTCTTTTAGAAGATAAGTTCAATTATAGTCCAAAAATAAAATTAACATCATTTAAGTTTTATTTTACAAATCCTCAATCCTATTTAAATCTCTGTTGCAACACATTCCTAACAAATGGGAAGTGATATCAGAATTCTCATATTCTACTTATCACCAAAAATTTATGTCCCAAAATATTCACGTCATGTTCCACATTGGTCATGTTACAGATCCATTTACTTATATCAATAAGCACGGAACATTTTAACAAATTCAATAACACATGCTTTTCTAGCATTCCTTCTAAGGATGCTAAAAGTGTGCATATATTCAGCCATATCTAATCAAGCACAAAATTGAAAAACAAGCTACAATGGATCATATGACCTAATCAAGATTTACACAACTCATGAACGTATATAAAACATGATATTTTAAATACTTTCGGAATACTTTTCATTTAAAAAAAATGAAACACTTCAAAAAAAAAAAAAAA